GTGAGATTCCTACGATGTTCTCTATGGGTATCTCGGAAACTACTGGAGATAGAGAGTCGGTTAAATGGGGAAAGAATTGCAGTTTTGTGGGGTCATAAATATGCGCCTTTCAGATTTTTGAAAAAGTTCATGGCTTACTAGATATTTCGAAAAAAACAAATTTCGGCTATTTTAAAAATTGTCCCTAATTCCATTATAATCTATTTTAGACAAAAAGTTTTCAGATAAAATTTGTAGATAATCACATCCTTAATGAGACTGTGTTCTCCGTTTTTTTCTAGAACCTGTCATTTTTGACATATAACACAAACTTATGTTTTTTTTTAAATGGAAACCATAGTTGGCCATTACTTCATAAAAAGCGCCATTTTTCAAGCTTTTCAGCGATATAAGCTATAATATGTTTTTTTTTTCAAAAAATTACTGAGTTATAGCCAATTCTTATAATTTTTAAACAATTTCACTTAGTTAGCAATGGAAACAAGTTCAATCGCCGTTGCTCTCAGAAATGTGAAGCTGTCACATCCAAACTTCGTAAATTAAAATAAACAAAAATTGTAAATATGAATTTTTCAAGTTAAGAAGAGCATGTAGATACTCGTGCATCAATAGAGTGATTCCAACATGACTTTCATTATACCTCCCCCCATAATGGAAGAAATGTTAAAAATGATTTATATCATAATAATGCAGGGATAGGAAGAGGTGGACCAATTGCATGGGCCTCCTCGATCACCTGACCTATACATTTTAGATTTTTGTATGGGGTATGGTTAACAATAAGGTTTACAAAAAACTTATGAATTAAGAGAGACACTCGTTGTGGCGGTATGAGAGAAGTTTAATTAAGTCGACCGGTCCTTCTGTGAAACTAGGTAGTAATTCATTTTTAAAAGATGCAACTCAAAACTAAGAATTGGCTATAAATAAATTTAGCTTTTCTAACATATATGTCTTAAAAACCGTTCTCTAAAGAACGTAACTTTCACCGGTCAACGTATCCTCGAAAATGTAATGGATTACAAAGTTTGGATGTGACAGCTTCACATTTCTGAGAGCAAAGATGATTGAACTTGTTTCCATGGCTAACTAAGTGAAATTGTTTAAAAATTATAAGAATTGGCTATAACTCTGTAATTTTTCGAAAAAGGATATACTCTCATTAAGGATGTGATTATCTACAACTTTCATCTAAAAACTTTTTGTCTAAAATAGCTTATAATGGAATTAGGGACAATTTTTATATTAGCCAAAATTTGTTTTTTTCGAAATATCTAGTAAGCCATGAACTTTTTTCAAAAATCTGAAAGGCGCATATTTATGACCCCACAAAACTGCAATTCTTTCCCCATTTAACCGAGTCTCTATCTTCAGTAGTTTCCGAGATACCCATAGAGAACATCGTAGGAAACTCACCCTGTATAAACAGATACATCAACTTAAAAAGATGATAGTAATACCGTTGGTAATATCGGCTACTGGCTCTTTTAATAAAGCTTTTTTGGCGTACCTAGAAAAAATTAAACTATTTGATCAAATACTTGATGAGTTACTCCAAACAACGGTAATATAAGAGACCTGCAGAATAGTAAGAGAAGTTTTGAACATTAGCGAGTAGCTAATACTGGCCCGACTTATTTACTTTGCACCTATTACTTTTGCGGAGATTTGATCTATTTCTTGCAGGAGGGGTCTGCAAGAAACACCCTGAAATGGAGAAATTAAAAAAGTCGAGGTTTAGTTGAGCAAATTAGATATCTGCCCTTAAGATTAGAAATCTTAGTTGGTGACTATATTCTCTATCTATTTTCAAAAACAAATTCATTGAATATAAATGATAAGCAAGATGAGAAATATCAAATTATATTTTAAAACCAAATTGGTAAAATAATATAAGCCTCGGCAAATAAAACTTTATGTAACGCAAAAAGCTGCAGTAAATAAAAATTCATTGCATGCAGCGCGTTGTAAAAATCTCGGCGCATTCAAATATCTATGTAAATCTAAGAATCCGAAATGTTTTCCCATTTTGCCTCGGAGGCAATTCCCATAATTCAAAAACATACAATACTGTTTGGTGGATTTCGTCATATAGAAAGGTTCCGAGACGAGAACAGTCGATGAACTTACGTACATTATGATATAATTTGGATTTAGACAATACTGAGCTTTGTTTGAGTGTATTTTTATATACGCAATAGAGTCTTTAAGAATTTTCCATAAAAATGCGGTTTTGCTAGTGAGGTCATAATTGGGGCCATTTTGGCTGTGACGAAATTTTTTAAAGGCACTAATTATAATTAATTTTAGAAGATGTTCATAAAAAATGCGAGCAGTAGTTGATTAAAACAAGTAATTGCAACCATTCTTTATTCCATATACCCGGTCGCTTAGAGGTACAGGTACGACTCAGCATTAAATGAGTACTTGGGATTCACAATCCTGTGGTAATAATGGGCGGTTGAAGCGTAATGCTAGCCACATTACCTTCCTTGTATACCGAAGGGCTCTAGTATGGCAAGCTGTACATTAGGGCGGAACGAAATTTTTTTTTTCCAAAATATTTTCACACAAGCCTCAAAATGTGCCTTTAAATAAGTAATTTTTTTCTCAAAAGCTGAGCGCCCTGCCTTTGTATCTTCAGGTTCCTCATGGACCTTAAAAGCTGAGATATTTTGAAAAATATTTGTTTTTTTTTGCCCGTCAACATGTTTGATAATTATTTATCTTTTACCTTTAACACACTGCTTAACATGACTATAAAATATAACCCAATAATGTTATCTAAACTAAATCACTTAAATTATTGTTTTCCGGTTCCTCAATATATTTGAAACTTGTCCAACTGCATGATAAACTACCATAAAGTGTGACCAACGGATCTGTAGCTACGGGGTATCGACAGGGGAAAGCAGTTGTAAACAAAACACGCCCAATTTCATTCATAAAATAGGCATGGGCGTACGGTGTTATATGAAAATAATGTGTATCATAAATATAATACTCAGATTAATAATTTTTTTCAAAAAACTTTATGCTGTTTGAATCGTTACTGTTGAGTTAGCAGATAAACACTAAAAGCTTTTATTAAAGCTCTCTTAAATATTTTGAATCATTTTATTATTGTGTTGTTAATATAATAGAAGAAATAATTACAGCTGGTGGTTGGAACCTTTGGTGTTACACAGCAAAATAAAACACTAAATCAGTACAATACACCAAAACACTTTTAATTTTACACTGGACGCATGTTTCGCTAACCATGTTTGCCATCAGCAGATGATCAAGACTGAGTCTTGAGGTATATTTATTTATATATCTGTACTAACTATATTTTTTTTATAATACATAATTTTAGATATAACTATTTCCAGCAAAAAAAAATCTTGAAAATAGTTAACTTTGGAAGCGCAAACAAAACATAATTTTACTCATCAGTAGATCTGATATTGCCTATTACACCAGATATGGTATCGCTCCGCCAGCAGTTTTTAAAGGTTAGGTCATTGTCTACCCATATGTTACATCCAAATAGATAATACTTGGCTATATTTTCGAATTTCGCGTATATATATTTATATCTCTCTCTGCAATATAATGGGCCGCTCCATTAATATTTATCTGTTATTTTAACATTTACGCCAAAAAAATTCATTTGATTTTAATAACCCCCTAAGCGTTTCCCTGCAAAAGGAAAATTCGATTCTTCCTGCAATTTTTGCAAAAGCTTTCTAATTGTGGGGACGAGTTTGAATTCGAGATAAAATCTATTTATCAAATTCCTGACCACTTCGAAAAAGTCGTTGAGCTTTTCGACAGCAGTCTCACGTGGTCGTTTCTTTCCAGAGAGGATATCATTTTATCGGGGTTAGTTTTCAGCCTTTTTTTTATCTTCTGTGTGAATTTTTTTATAGCCGATACGCTAACTCCGGTATAAAGAAATATCCGCTCAAGTTTACGTTTAAGCGGCAACTCAAGCGAACTCTCTGTAGCTTCTTCATCGCAAACCCTATTATGAACACAAGGAAATACACCAAATGAGATTTCATCCACGTTATTATTAACTTACCTATATAAATTAGCTATTATTTCTCTTGTCTGACTATGTAGCGTCTTACCCTTAACAAATTTATTCGTTTTAAAACACAAATATACGATCAAACTTGATATTAATAATTAAAAACTACGAACGAAAAACATTATAACAAGATAACAAAACAATAAAACACAACTTAACTATCAAATATACTAAAAATATAGGAATAAAGTTTAGGATAACCGGTATAAAATAATGAAATAAAGTAATAATGATCAAAAAAATTACACCGCCACTGGATATTTCAATAGTATTCAATATTCCTACTCTTTTCAGAAGAGACCGTGAAGTTGGGGATAAAGCAAGCGAATAGGAAAGGCGTAAAAGCCATGGCAACCGCGTGGTAACAAATCCTGTGACGTACTCTGGCCAATCATGTTCGAGAAATAGGTGGCCATGCCCAACGATGCCGGTTTGCCAATGATATCGTTGAAAAATCTTCAACTTTCATAATAAGCAGATTATATAGAATGAAAGAAATAAGTTATTAAATAAAACATATTGAACAATATGAACTACATTAAAATTCCTTAATAATATACGTCAGAATATATGCTAAACACATTATATATATTAAAAATATATTAAATTTATAGTTCATGTCTGGCAATTTTGCAATTTTATAGATAAACGTGGCAATATCGATTTTTTTTTTCTCGCATTCCTTCCGTAGCTTCAGATCCGCTGGTCAAACAGTACGTGGCACTTGCCTGTGATAAAACTGGAGTTTTAGATCACGCTGCCGCTATCATCGCAAATGCTCTTTCATAGGATATTGGAGTAGTGTCCAAAAACAGTTCTACACAGATAGTAGATAGAATGAAGATCAGGGCGGCCAGAATGTATCAACGTAAGGTTTGTACTAGTGTATTAGGTGAAATGTCGTTATTAGGCGTGTTTTTCGATGGACTCTACTATTACTTACAATAAGAATAAAAGGAAGAGAAAACGCGTTGTGGAAGAACATATTTCTATTCTAAGTGAACCCGGTTCTAAGTATTTGGGCCATGTCACACCGGAAAGCGGATCTGCATGTCATATAAAACGGTCTTTGGTTAATTTCTTGAAAGAAAAGTTTGACTCAACCGAACTTTCCGATTTAGTAGCAGTTGGGACAGCTGAAACTGTTGTGAATACGGGAGTGAAAAATGGCGTTATTCGTTTGTCGGAAAAGGAATTAAAACGTCCCTTACAATGGTTAATTTGTTTATTCCATTTAAATGAACTTCCTTTGCGACATTTGGTAAAATAACTAGATGGTGAAACTTCGGGTCCAGGTGGACTCAAAGGTGTTATTGGACAGAAACTAGATAACTGTGAAACCTTAGCTGTTGTAAAATTCAGAAGAATTGATACTGTCTAATAACACAGAATTCAAACTGTCTAATAAAACACGCCTAATAACGACATTTCACCTAATACACTAGTACAAACGTTACGTTGAGACATTCTGGCCCTCCTGATCTTCATTCTATCTACTATCTGTGTAGAACTGCTTTTAGGCACTACTCCAATATCCTCTAAAACAGCATTTGCGGCAGCGTGATCTGAAACTCCAGTTTTGTCACAGGCATCTAGGCAAGTGCCACGAATGGTAGTTTATCATGCAAATACGGAAGATGGACAAGTTTCAAATATATTGAGGAACCGGAAAACAATAATTTAAGTGATTTAGTTTGGATAACATTATTGGGTTATATTTTATAGTCATGTTAAGTAGTGTGTTAAAGGTAAAAGATAAATAATTATCAAATATGTTGACGGTCAAAAAAACAAATATTTTTCAAAATATCTCAGCTTTTAAAGCCCTTGAGGAACCTCAAGATACAAAGGCAGGGCACTTAGCTTTTGAGAAAAAAAATTACTTATCTATAGGCACATTTTAAGGCTTTTGTGAAAATATCTTGGAATTTTTTTTTCGTTCCACCCTACTGTACAGGGTGGGTCAAATTCGACGCTTTTAAATGGAAACAACCTTTTCTATAGGAGATAGACAAAAACTAATATCGGTGTCTGGAGCTCAATTTTTGTCAAAAACATGATGGTGAAAACCGCATATCGATATCTGTTACCGTTTCGGAGTTACGGGGTGTTTTTCAAAAATATTCATTTTTAACAAATCGCTGTAACTTTTTTGCTATGAAAAATTTTGTATTTTTATGCGAACATTTCCAAAGCACCTTTTTACGTAGAATTTAATGGTTTAAGTATAATTTTTTAAAATTAATAATTTAAGAATTATCAACAGAAAATTTTGATTTTATATGGGACACCCTGTATATTTTTTAATTAGCTGAAAAGAATTTAAAATTACCTTTCCAAAAAATATAGCACACACTTGATATTTGGTTATAATCCCTCTGAATACAGAATTTTTAAAAGTTCGCCACTTTTAACTAGCAGGCTTTGGACCCCTCATTGATGATATGCCCTTAATGGAACTCGAAAACATATTTTTCCAGCAAGACGACGCACCGCTTCTGAACGCTGAAGTTATCGGCAAAATTTCTGCAGCCAATTTCAAGAATAATTGAATAGCTGACCAAGCACTCCAGCCGTTGGCCGTCGAGGCCGCCTGACTTAGTGCCCATGGATCTAATCCTATGGATATATATTTGCGGAAGAATAAAGGTTCCTTATTCTTCTGTATAATCTAGACAAGAATTAGAAATACTTAGCAGTTATGAGAGGGTATCTTTCACCCCTACTGAGTTAATGAATTCCGCGAGAAATGTTCAAAAACTGCCCCGTCTGTCCATAACAGAAGACGGTCGATATGTCGAACACTTGTAGCAAAATCTTATGTCCTGGTTTGCTATTTATTTTTATTGTTATTAGATATAGTTTAAATGTGTTGATGTTGGTTAAATATATTTTAAATTGTTATAAAATTCTACATCTCTCATAGCAAATATTATTTTCGTTTTAATTGATGCTCACAGCTAGAATTTTTTTATATTACAGCCGGTGCAGTTCAAAGCCTACTTATTTAAAGCGGGCGAATTTTTATATACTCTATATCTCGAAGAGGGATCGAGCAAAATATCAAGTGTGTTATATTTTTGGAAAGGTAATTTTAAATTCTTTTCAATAAATTAAAAATATACAGGGTGTCCCATATAAAAACCAATTTTTCTGTTGATAACTCTTAAATTATTAATTTAAAAAAAAATTATATTTAAACAATTAAATTCTACGTAAAAGATGCTTTGGAAATGTTTTCATAGAAATACAAAATTTTCCATAGCAAAAAGTTACAAGCGATTTGTTAAAATGCACATTTTTGAAAAACACCCCGTAACTCCGAAACGGTAACAGATATTGATGTGCAGTTTTCACCATCATGTTTTTGATGAAAATTGAGCTCCAGACACCGATATTAGTTTTCGTCTATCTCCTATAGAAAAGGGTGTTTCCATTTAAAAGCGTCGAACTTGATCCACCCTGTACATCCCAAAGCGTTAAATGCTATATACGGGAGCTATTATTATATTATAATTGATCCTCTCATAGCATATATGCCTATTTAATATTTTGATTAAGTAATGAGCACTTTGTTTACTCAGTTGTTTCGTGCTTTTCGCTGCATGAGCTACTTGAATCCATTTTTGCTTTTGATCAAATCGGTGTGAGAAGTTGTGAAGTTATAAAATGTTGTTTCGCGAGAGCTGAATATCCGGGAAAGTCGAGTTATTGAGTGTTATTGTCGGAACATTTTTTCGACAATTTCATTAACATTTGAAATTGTCACAACACAAAGCGACACTCAGTTCGGTCCACGTGATATTTACTACCCGAAACAGTGTTACATCACACAAACTTCGTACTGTGAAGTGGGGTGACTTTGCCCAATTCTGAATTTTAAATCGTGTTTATTTCAAAAATTGTTGTATTTTCTCAAATGCGCATGGTCTATGCTATAAGTGGTGATAAGGACAACACAACAATAATACGCTTTTTTGTTTATTAAACAAATATATATATATAAAAAAAGTAAAAAACTGGATGGGCAAAGTTAGTTGCTTATATGGGGTGTCTTTGCCTTCTTCTTATTCTTATTGATAGACCAAAGCCAATTCCATTTAAAAGCATAATTACGTAAAATATGCTTCATCACCCTCAATATTATAACGAACTTCTGCATAATACTTACCTCAATATAGCGTGGTTAACTATTGCAGCCACGTAGATGTTTGAAACGCACAAAATAGGCTTTAAAAACAGATTTGGCTTCACAGCGCTGTAAATGCTACATCGCAACTGACGGCAAACGTTTAACGACGTTTCGAGACGTGGGGCGCCTCCACCCATAATTTGCCGATAACACATAACGCATTCTTTTCAAGTAGTGGCTACGGCTACGTCTAACATATTTTCGGACAGAATTTGGCAAAGTCACCCCAAGAGGCAAAGTCACCCCATTTCACGGTACCTGAGTATTTTATAGTTTCAATAACTGCAAAAGCAAAAAACTAAAATACTTAAATATTATGACAAAACCACAATTTCAATATTATTTTAATGCGATCAACATGAACTGTAACCGGGACGGCGTGAAATACAGAGCAAAAACTTCTGATTTCGGTCTGGAATTTTTTGAGATCAATTGAAATGCGCCAATTATCACTAATACTTTGTTTTATTTATATTGATTTTATTTTATTTTAAAAATACTAACTTTTTCTTTCAAAAAATTTATTCGATGTAATAAAGAGAATAATTATTATTCCTGTTGAATATACGTCGTCCTTCTTTGCCTAATCCCTATTCTCCTCGATAATTGGGATAAAATACGAATCTTATTGAAAGCAATTTGCGAAAAATTCAACTTCCTCCGCTCTACAAATCGGTGCCAATTCCAACTTCCAAATCGCTTTCATTAGTGGGATCTATACTGAAATGACGGGTTTTCGAGAATTTGCGGAATTCAAATCGTAGCAAAAATTAGAAATAAGAGTTTTGTGAAATTGTCTAATTAGCTCTTCAGGAATAAAAAAGGAGAGTAATAAGAAAAAATGCAGGATAAATGATAAATTGCATGGGAAAGAGTTTGAAAGAGATTTAAATTACTTTTTTAAAGGTTAATAGAAATAAAATTAGATTTCTGTAAAGCCCCGATACCTACACATTTTTTACCTGTCTGGAACTGTTATTAATTTTAACTTAATTTCGTTTTTTAACTTCTGTCGGTCTGACCATCTGTCTGTCTGAGACGTCCCTAGTTTGGTTCCAATCGACCCTGGATTAAAAAAACCGGATGATTTCGTCCATTTCGTCTATTTTATATCTTAGAAAGTTTGGCATAGAATTTTAGAACTCCCTGTATGGTTTAAGATTATGATATTTATAGCAAAGTAAGTACAGGTCAACTATGGTAAATACCTAGTGTAGTTTTGATTTCAGGATTTTTCTTGTACTTTGAATATTTTATTTGAACGATGTACTTAAACAGCCGTTAAACGGTAGCCTACTAAAATGCCGTTAATAGATATTGTGACGTCGTTCATGTCGGCGGAAAGTAATGCCTGGCTTAAGCATTTTGCAAGAGCACCTGTGGCTCCGTGGCTGAGGCTATCGCTTCGTGAGCGAATGGTCCGTGGTTCAAATCTCACGCCGACCAAAATTTTTTTATATTTTTTTTTGCTTATATCTAATTTCTTTTTTGCTTTATATTTTATTTTGCGTGATCTTATTGCATTGGTTTCACTCTTTTTGGTTGGATTGATTTAGTTATTTGGCTGGTTGGTTAGCGTGGTTATTTGGAGGGTGTTAATTCATTGGTTAGAGTTGGTTATTTGGTGGTTTTTACTAATTTATATTTGTTTTTTATATTTTTTATCAGTGTCGAGGTTAGTTGCGTTGGTTAAGTTGGTTATTTGGTGGGATGGATAGCGTTGGTTAATCCTTATAAAATTCCTATATTTCATAAAGCCATCAAGTGCGTCACATCAACGACGTCATACCTATTAACGGCATTTTAGTAAGCTACCGTTTAACGGCAGTTTAAGTACAGCCTTATTTAAAAAAGGCTTTCTGAAATGATCAAAACTTACTTAATAATATCGGGGGGATTATGTAAAGTGATCAGAAAGGAAGTCAAAAATGCTATAATATACCGGGTGTTCTATTTAAAAAAAATCATCCCTATCTACTCACATCCCTGTAGAAGTTAAAATATTTTCCTGAAATACATCCTAATACATACTTTAGGTTTGTACACATTCAAAATTATTAAGTTTTTTATTATAGGAGCTACAGATGCCCGACGCATTGTTGCCGGACCCGTATAAAGTAGTAAGAAAACTTTGAACTCTGGTAACCCCTATTTGCAGCAACTTTTTATTGGCACCCTGTTAAAAGTGTATTCCCCTATGGATAAATATACTTACAAATTACGTTTTGGTTAAAAATATCATGAGTTTAACAATCCTGCTGCTCTCAATTTTATCTGATACAATTGAAATTAACTACGACTAAATTTTTATTTATTTATTTTTTCAGATTGGAGGACCTGAAAAGGATAAGAACAAACTGTCAGGGACAGAAAAAAGAAAAGCTGACGATGGTGAACCCAACAAAGATTTGAAAAAGGTAAGATTAGTAGTAATTGAACCTTCATATTTACCAAAGAGAATGAAGAATTTGTGAGAAAGTTAACACACATATTATCTGTTAATCTCTTCCAAAATTAACGTGTTGCCTAACTTCATCCTACTTTATACCAATTAGTAAATTACTTCGTACATCAGCGTACGTCGACCAAAAATAAATTCATTTACTTCCTGAAGCAATCTCCTCATTTCAAATTGACTAAGTATAATTTATCCGTGAAAAGATCTCCGGGAAATTCCTCCTATTGACTTAGGGAAAAGTTCGCTCTAACTAAAGCCGGGAAGGAGCTCCAAATCTGTAGAGGCATAAGACATAGAGAATCGCTGTTTTACTCTGACTTGTGTTCAGTTTAAAAACTTTCGACCTGACCAAAATGAAAACCGGAAGTTATATTACATGTAATGTTTTATAAGGTATCTTGCCACTTAACTGCTGATATAGAAATTTAATTCTACGCGGTGTTTGTCATAATGTGGATCAACCTGCTCTCACTACCGGTTTCGGAGCCTTACTCCATCATCAGGTGAGTTTGGGCGGATCCACAAAATCAACAGCGCAGAGATAGTTAATTACGACTTGTCGGAAAGTGTCGGTTAGATATTAAGTCCCGAACGGGAGATAGCGGTCTGCGTGCAATGGTACTACTTTCGTACCACCGAGGCCTAACTATCGATAGTAAAAGGATGGTAAAAGGCTTTTTTTCAGGCAAGCCAAATTATGAAATAGAAAACAAATTTCTTGCAGTTAAAGAGATATAAATAGAGTAACAAGTATGAGACACTTTTTAGGGGTATTTCTTGTATATTTTACTTTTGCAATAGTTTCGTTATCACTAAGTGCCTTTTATAGAAGAAATACTTTTGTATTTAAATATATGTATCTATAATAATATTAACTAAGAAGCCCTACACGTAAAAATTTGCTTGCCAAATGGCACAGTTCAGATTTTAGGACCAGATTAATAGCGATCTTATCACACTAAAGGTTCAGAATTTGTAAAAGATAATTTTGTCGGTCTATAATATACAGGGTCCGCAATAGTGCGTCGGGCTTCTCTAGCTACTAAAAAAAAAAGCTTGGGAATTTTGTTTAAGTGCAAATTTGAGTATGTAGGTACCAGGATATATTTCAGGAAAATATTTTACCTTCTATAGGGTGGCTCAAAAGAGTGTGAGTGAATCGGGATGATTTTTTTAAATGGAACACCCTGTATATTTTTTTTTATTAGATGGAGATAGAGTTAAAAAATGAATATTTTTCTAGCCTATTTTCCTTGCCTATAATAATACGATGGTTCGGGATTTACAGTCCTATAGAATTGGTTTTATTAATAGCATTAGGCTGCCCTATACAAGGGCTCAAATAAATAATCCCGCACCATTAAATATAGCAAGGGGAATGGCGGTTTTAATAGATACATTTACACACCACATTAGTGGAGTTCCTTGTTATTAATCTGATCAGAAACTAGAAATATTATCGTCATTAATAACGTGGCGAGAGAATGGCCGCTTTGCTGGAGACGCATTAACTATTGTTTTCTGTTCCTCTGTGCCCGCTATTCTGCTACTCCTGGTTGTTATCTATCGCTCTTAGAAAAGGATTTTCGGCGAAATAGCTTTATTAACTTAATAGCTTACTTTTCTTTTTATATAAGGACGTTTATAGTTATAATCGGAGAAAGAAAACTATTTTAATAAACCACCGCACTGGTTCGCTCTTATGGACGTACGTGGCCAAAACCTGTATATTATTATATCGGGGAAAATTAATGTATCAGTTAATATTTTTTAGTAAATCTATAAATATTTAGGCGTTTGGAGTTGCCAAACATATAAAAAAAGTTCTTTATCGTTAGACGTTTTCAATTATACAGGTAAAGTAACGATGGTTCATTAGAATTTAAAAGCGCAATTTATTTACCAATATTAATAAGTATTACTTTATAAAGTTATTTAGCAAAAATTAAAAAACAACAAACAGAATGAACAATGGTTAGAAGATATGCGGTAAATCGTTGATAAGCTAATAAAGATACAGGGTGTCCCATAAGTGTGAGAAAGTTCAATATTGTCGTTGCGTAGACGAAAATATGAAAAAAGTATTATATAAATATATGCATGTTTTATTAAGGTGCATATACTAAAAATATTTTGTTGTGTAAAGGGTGTCCCAAAGTAATGATAAAATCCTGGGCTTTTTTAAATCATAACTCCCTTTTTCTGTACATAATTTGATTCAGCATAAAATTGTGCATATAGGACACAATTTTTATTTGAAAAACTATGCGGTGTTACCATGCTATTTCTTATTTATTAAAATTTTCATTAATAATAGTAGGTATATCCGAAAATTGGTTAAAATCTGAGGTTAATTTATATTTGTTAATATCTAATGCTATACTATGTTAATACCCTGTACTTTACCAATATTTTCTTAACGCCAAAGAAAATAGAATAAATTTGTGAAGAAAAACTCACATTATCTTATACCGGTCATTTTTTATGGCGTGGCTAACAATGAAAATATTTAAAATGCTCTATTTCAATTTTTTAAATGCACATTTATAAACCATGCAACATTTATATAAGACGTTTGTTTACAAGACAATTTATGCTGAATAGCAGATATTAGCAGCTAATTTGACATGGTTCTCAAAAAAGACATTATGAAGTTTCATTTAAGTTAAAAACAATCACTTAGTTCAGCTGCGATATCCTTGATTTAGTTATGTATATAAAATATATTTCACAGGTACAATATAATTTTGATATTTTCAAATGGTTAGTACTATTTTTTTTCATTTTATCTGTTAAAAACTGATATTATATGAGGAAAGTATACGTGCAGTATGGTCTAATTAAAAATGCACTATTTAATATTATTTTGAAAACACTAAGTGAGTAATTTATTCATTGTCGATACAAAAACAGTTATATATGCTTTTTTAGACTATTGCATATAAAATGTTATCACATAAGTGCTCTAAAGTGCATGAATTTCCAAAATATATTTTTATAACAATCCTTTCATGTCTTTAAATATATATTATAAAATATTTGATCATATATGATCAAAATAATTTTTTTCGATATATTGAGTTTTGGCCAAATTTTTATAAGGGAGGGAACTACTGTGCACCGTGGCGGCAAATCAATAAGTGTACTAGTCACTCGATAATTTTTTGAAATGAAACTTCTTAACGAGCTGGTGAGATAAAAGTGGTAAGGATCGCGCGATCGCGCAAAAGCTAAAAAACATTATTTGATTTAAAGCTAAGAAAATCGTTATATTTATTTATTTAGCGTATGGCTTACATCACAGTATCTTAAGTTATAGGACACAGAATGGTATAAACAACAACAAAAATGTATATAAAAAACTGCATAAACAACAAAAAAAAATATGTAGATAAAAAAAACTGCATAAACAAAGAAAAAAAAACATACACAACAAAAAAATAGGCTAATTCGTCTCATAAACAGATATCCAGTCGTTGTATATAATCAATTGCCTCCTGAATAGCCATAAGGAAATCTTCTGAGTTGCCCATATATGCTCTTATTGGGCAGTCTTGCACTATATGTTTGACAGTCTGCCTGTCAGCTCCACAGTCGCATTCGGCTGAAGGGACTTTTCCCCACCTATTTAGAGAGTCGGCACATCTTCCGCAGTTAGTTCTGATACGGTTAAGAGTTGTCCATGTTCAACGGGGAAGGTCGAATCCTGCAGGTTCATTAATAACGTGCGGTAGACCATGGTACATTGGAGCTGCCTCATTTTCCCATTTCTCTCTCCATCGCTCAATTATATCAAAATTATTTTGGTGCAGCTCATGTGCAGTCTTCAATGGAGGGTGTCTTGATCGTAGTCGATTTCCCTGGATGTGTGGTACGTCATCATGGACCTGCAGCTGAGGGTTATTCATTGTTTTAGTAAACTCTCTGACCAAGGCATGTTCTCGGCGCAAATTGGGAGGAGCTATGTGGCTAAGAGTGGGCAGCCATATTGTAAGTGTTGGTCGAATTGTCCCTGATATAGTGCGCATAGTTTGGTTTAATTTAGTATCGACCATACGGGTGTGTTTGCTATTAAGCCACACTGGAGCACAGTATTCTGCTACAGGATACACCAAACCCAGCGCAGAGGATCTCAGGGTGGATGGTGATGAGCCCCAAGTTGTGCCACATAATTTTTGAAGTATGTTGTTACGTGTTCTCAACTTTGCCGTCATTCTTGTCAAGTGTTCTTTAAATGTAAGCGTCCTATCCAGAGTGACTCCGAGATATTTTGGATGTTTATTGTGTGTGAGTAGTTTGTTGTCCATGCACACTCGCAATTCTCTCTTTGCCATCTTATTATTAAGATGAAAGGCAGATACTTCAGTTTTTACGATACTTGGTTGGAGTCTCCATTTTTTAAAATACTCGCTGATGGTTGCTATGTCTCTGGTAAGTACAACTTCAGCATCCTCCACCCTCCTGTGCGCCGTTGCCAATGTCCAGTCGTCTGCATAACCAAATTTTCGTGATTCAGTTGCAGGCGTGTCCGCGATGTATAGACTGAAGAGTATGGGGGCAAGAACCGACCCCTGAGGAAGACCGTCATTTAGTTTCATTGTTTTGCTCCTGTTATTCCCCATTATAACCTGGAATGTTCTATTTGACAGCGTATTGTTAATGAGGTTGGATATTCTTACACAAGGAATGACGTGAGTGAGTTCATATATTAGGCCCTGTCTCCAGACGGTGTCATATGCTGCTGTCAGGTCTATAAATGCGGCAACGACTACAAAATAGGCGGCAGAACAAACGATAAAATTCCTGCCTCACATCACAGTTACAGTATGAAATCGTTATAATAAACTTGATAGTGTGTGTGTGTACCAATATCCTCTGGTTGTGTGCTAGGAAGTGACATCGATAGGTTTGTAGCCTCTGAATGACGGTCTAGGTCAAGCATCTAACTTATTTGCTAGCCCAGAATTAGAATTACTAGAGTTGAGCAACTCGCATTTTTATTGGAGGACATTGTCATATTCATTTGAGATGAATAATCAATGATAATATTCGTATAATTTAACAAAATTACTGTAAATCACTATAAATAATGAACAAAAACAGACCACACGAATTGTTGGTTAGGTTCAAAATTTCTTCTCTTCATAACTACATTTTAAGGGACGTTAACATTATTAGGCGTATGCATAAAAATGTGTATTTTGAGGTATAATAGTGTAGCCTGTTACTACAGGCTACACTACTACAACCCAAGATACATTACTGTGTTGCCACCACTAATCATTTGACAAAGAAACAAAAAATAAATATAGGAATACTGGGCATCTATTTTTATTTATGTTTTCCGATAATATTATAAGCTTTCTTCAAAGAAGCATTTGTCAATAAAACTCTTAAGCAAAAATAAAAGAAAAGAGAGCTTACGCAATTAAATTAATTGATTTTTGTAAAAAAATGATATTTTTATTTCCTTCTTTGACAATTCCATCTAATACGAACCGGATATATTGCTTTAGCGATATTAATTACGTAAGTACTCTTAATATAATCTTATTTTTACGTTTGTCTGGACAGGAAGAAAAATCCATCCAGAGAAAAATAATAAGCTAGGGTGACGTAATTTTTTTTTATTTAGCTCCCCTCGTAATTAACGTTTCTTCAAATGTTTTTTTTATTTATAAAAAGCTCTTAATTTGATATAAAGTTTGTCAAAACAAAATTCACACGGAACGTATTCACACGGAATACTTGACACATCAGATAAAATTCTTTTTGATCTTCGTAAACATCTGTATTTTATGAAAGATATTTTTCTCTTCATTTATTTTTTTTTAGTATTTTTTTTTTGTTTTTCTTTGTTTTGTTAAAAGTGTGTTTTTTTGTTAGATAATTTTACCATCTTTATTCCCAAAAGTTATATTTAGGACATACCCTCATATGAATGTTTTCTTAGAATAGATCCAAGAGAACTTAAATATTAGTAAGGCATTAACCCATACAGCACATCAAATCACATTTACGATGTGTTTACATTATTAGATGTAGACACAGGGTGACACAATTCCCCCGATGTAAATATGCTACGTTTACACATTGTAGTTCAACACGTATGCACAAAGGTTAAACGTCCGCCTCACACAATGTAGCCACAGTATAGCATTTACGTATACACAAAGTAAGGGATACACAGTGTGCCGTAGGATACACAGTGCTTGTGTATTACGTTTAAACTCTGTTTACATATTGCAGTTGTGACTACTGCGTGTACTCGTATGCATTTTGCTTCGTATGTACATCTTGTGCTAGATAAAACTACTTCTTATGAACGAATTTAGGAAATAATACAAGTTTTGATGCCTAACTTTTCGTTCTTTTTAAGAAATATTTATTCAAAGATAACAATTATATCTTTGTAGAACGACAATTAGGAAGGCAAAACTTTGTATTTTCCATAAGTATCTCGATCGTAAATTCAAGAGAAGTAGCCTTTAAATTGTTCCATTTCTGTTTTGTATTAAATGTACCATTTTTTCCATAAAATGGATTAAGTGGTTAAAAATAAAATTCTTATATTTCTTTATGTCATGGAACGCAATAGCGCAAATAACACAATAATAATAATTATTTACACTGCAGAAACCAGAAGTAAGAAAACACTGTAAAAGAACAGAATTTGTATCAAAATGTATTAAAAATATAAGTACCTAGTATAACAACATACTAAAATGGTAAACAATGGTATATCGCCACGATTTGGTGGACCTCGTTTAGTCATTTTGTTCTCTTCTTTTCCCTCCAAGCAGTTAGTTTGTTAGCATACTCATTGTTCGAGATTAACAATCTCAGATTGACAATCTCACCCTTAAATTTTATATGAAACTGATTATTGAATATTAAACATACCTGTATATTGATCCATCAATAACTTACCGAATATCAGTGTAAGAAGTTCTTTGAAGTGAAGAATCTTTCTTTCTCTGGAATATTTGGAGATTTCATTCATTGGAGTCAAAATTTGGTAAATTGGGTATCGAGTAAGGGAAGAGTCGCTGCTATAATATTAATAATACTCTTAGGAAGGTGTAACAAAGTAATTAAAAACTTGTGCTTACCTTAAAATCTCTTTTAAACTACACACAAACAGAACATTTATATAAAGCTTTCGAATGATAAAACAATAATGGCTGCTAACACATACCACTTCTAGAAAGGAGAAAGGAGAGAGAACATATAAGATACACTTGGTCGGTGTGTCTACGCTGAGGCTATCCGCGCGTTCGCACACCTTCATTTCATGCTAGAATGTAGACACAACAGTACACTATTACAAAGTGTCTATATAGAAATTTATATTCTGTGTATACGTCACATTTTTACAAGGTGTGTACTATAGGCACAACTATGATACGAAGTATCACACATACATATGACATATACATTGTATGTCTCATATATCGACGTCAGATTTCATCATTTTAATAATTATTTGTTATATACAAAAAACTCTTTAGAATCTTGAGTGCATACGGTATACAACTAGTAAACACTGTATCACAAAATTCTATCATATCAATATAAACCTGCGTGTATCTCATATGTATATGTTAGAACTAGATGAACACTTAGGTTCACTGTAACATATTTGGTTTCTCATGTGTCTCCCTTGTAGAAACGTAATTTCATTTGTACGTGCTGTATGGGAAGGAACACCCGGTATATCCTGATTTATTCTGAAGGGGAAACTTTTGTCTTACCCTAATTAAATAAAGGTAGGAATAGGAGACTGTAAGGAAGAAAGGTCTAAGAAATTTAGGTTAGGGATTTTGTTATTCTCCTGTCATAATTTCGTGTCTTTGGCTAGGAAAACTGGTCACGTACTTGGCTAATCTCTTACGTAGCGCCGCTATACAGGCCACCAGTTAAGCGTATAGATTTTACGACACTACGTTTTCAGAAAACTAGAAGAATTCCAGAGTTTTTCTAATAAACTTTTTTTTTTTGCCATTTTTGGTCGTTTTTACAAAAAATAGTAAATCTCTTCAAAAATTACGAAAAACACAGATAGATTCTACGTAAAAATCGTTTATTCTAAAAATGGAATGGTCAATTGCAACAATAACTATACTATCCAGAAATTATTTTTAGAACCCAAGCTGTTGGGTTCTTCACAATTGCTTTACTAGGTAACTTTATCTGAACCTGACTTGTTGTTAAGGACCATTCTAGTTTTGTGTCTTCATTTCCTAATAATACCACCGATGTATTTGCAGAAGCTTCAAAAATTTGTCTGGATGACTGTAATGTTACCGTATCATCACTAGGCCATTCCAAAACTAGGGCATAGACGTTGTTGTTAGCATACGTATACCTAAGAGTCAGTAAATATAATTTTAAACAGTTATACTAAAATTGTATTGTAAGATTCATACCATATGTTTCCGTTGTAACTGTCATTTTGGGCTGTCCATGGACTGGTTTCATAAATAGCTTCTCCATTGATAGATAACCAATCGCCTAGTTGGGTTAGTCTTTCTTCGTATATTGGATTAATTACACCATCTTTTGTTGGACCGACATTAACCAGTAAATTACCTATAGAATGTAACACAGAATTAATATTTTACTTTTAAAAAAAACATTTTTATTTTATGTTGAATGGTTTAACTTTGTGTATATGTCCGTGTATACGCAAAACCACAAATGTATATATTTTTGTATACTAAGTTCATCATTTTCAGAACTAAATGTATGGAAAAAAGTCGAAAGGTTTATTGGCTCTCTTACCTCCACAGCTGACAGTTCTTGCCAACGTTGTTATTAATTCATTGGCAGTCAAATAATCATCCAGTACTGCATTTCTTCTAAATCCCCAAGACTTTTTATCGATAGTCATAGCGTTCTCCCATTTATGTGCTTGCAGTACTCCTAAAACACCAAAAAACACCTCAGTTTGTGGTATTTACATATTTATACAGAGAGATATACAGGGTGCTACAAATTCGGGGTACGAGCATTGGTATCTCGGTAACCGTAATCGATGCGAACATGGTTTAATTTGGCAAAGTTGCCACTTTGGGATGTTCACCAAGATGCCATCAAAAAAGTTTTAAAAATGATTGCTGAGTTTTTTGGAAAAACGGATTTTTTTGAAAATCAATTTTATTTTTTCCTGTCGTTACTTTTTAGAAAATCAAAAAAACGAATTGCACATTCTCATAGCCATTTTATTAGGGCTATCTGATAGTATTTTTATATTTTCAAATTAGCTGATAATTTCTGAGATACAGAGGCCAACTTAATTCACTTTATCTTTTTTTTTTGTTCTTGGTACCCTAACAACAACAAAACTATTTAATTATTATTCGAAATAATTTCAAGTCCGAGCCTGGATTTTTAAATTATTTAATCTGATTATATTCATCGTAATAATATTGATCAGCGCAAATTAATATTGAATAAGGAAAATTGAGCCAATTGAAAGATTCAAATAAATAATAACCAGGTCAGCAATTTAAAGATTATTTTCACCTTTTTTTATTATGAATTTGACATCTCAATGTACGATATAATATGATAATGTATTATGTATTCGCTTAATATAAGGATTAAGATCGAGAGACCACGTTACATATAAACTAGATATGTTGAATTGGCTAAATATTGAAGACAGACAAAAGTTACATTTTGCATGTTTTTTACACAGAATTTTGCGGAATGGTTTTCCTGAGTATTTAACTAATAAACTTAAATTTCGACACTCTAACTATGCTATAAGGCAGTGTAATAATATGGAAATTCCCAAACATCGCACGGCGCTATATCAGCGTTCGTTCTCCTACCTGGCATCCAAGATGTACAATTCCAACTTGAATCTATACTCCCTTGATTTAAAGACGTTCACTTTCAAAACAAAATTAAAAACTTATATGTTGAGCGGATATAGAATTACACAATAATTTGATTTATTAATTTTTGTATGCTTTACGGAACAATTTTCATTTTTTTACTGTTTTTGCTTTAACTTATTAAGTTGTTGATTTTTCTTTATCTAAAGTATATTGTTAATTTTCATTTTTCTTACTCATTTTTTTTTTCTTTGAATGTTATTTTTTAAGAATGTATTATATTATTTACTTTTTTTATATGCTCGGTTAACTTAACAGCTCTGCTGAATTTCGCCGTGTAAGAAATAAAGACGTTATTTATTTATTTATTTATTATATACATAATATTAAACGTTGTTATTATAAATAGATCAACTTCTACCAACAAGTTTATAATGCTATACATGTTCTAAAGGATTACCACTCTGCATGCCTATTGCACAAATTTATTGTAAATGTTGAAAATTAATGATTCCACTTTTACAAATGAGGTCAAGTAATGCAACAACCCCGTTATATTTATATGCATTTTATTTTCCGTATTCAATGTTGTACCCCACGTCATTGTTAAGTTTGATTGTAACGATAATAATATTGTAACGATGAATAGATTAAATATTTTAAAATTCTGTTAATGTCCGAAACAAAAAAAAGTATCAAGTGTGGCATATCATTGTACTCAGGAGACCGAGTTATTTCAAAAACTGAAATAAAAAATGCAGGTCCGTATTTAAAAAAATTAAGTCGGCCTCTGTATCTCATAAATTATCAGCTAATTTAAAAATCTAAAAATACTATCTGATAGCCCTAATAAAGTGGCTATGAGAATGTGCAATTAGTTTTTTGATTTTCTAAAAAGTAACGACAGGAAAAAAATTGATTTTCAAAAAAATCCGTTTTTTTTTTCAAAAAACTCAGCAATCCTTGACATTTTTAATTTTTTTTATAACATCTTTGGTGAACATTCCAAAGATCAATTTTTCCCCAATTTAACCATCTTTGTATCTATTACGGTTACCGAGATACCAATGCTTGTACCTCGAATTTATAGCACCCTGTATAGATACATTTTTAAGAATATACAGGAAAATAAGTTTACCTGGATCATATCTGTCAGTGCAAGTATAAAAATCACCATGGTTACAAGGAATGTCAGCTCCCCACCTGTCATTGACTACTACTTCATCACCTACTGGACTTTCGTTGTATAACCTATAGCAAAATTAAACAGTAATAACACAGATTATACAGATTATAATCTTTGTTTTTCTTTATTGTTTTTCGTGGTTCCAATTTTCGGAATCAGGCACTAGTTAGGTTACTAGTTTGCTCACATAGCATGCCCACTTATGGCCTCTAAAATTGTGCACAGCGCCTGAGTTATTAGAGAGATATCGGAAAACCGAATAGCGTCATGCAGTATTTACGCGTACTTTATCATGGTTACGATATGCGCGAGTCAATTTTTAACGCAACACCCGCCAATAACGTTACCGCCTGACGTAATTTGCGGATCAATTACACCAAGCGCTATTTCTAAATAACGTTTAAAAATTGCTTAAATGGGCATGTGCGGGTATTTGACAACCGGGGCCGGCCGGCGCGCGGCGAGATCTTACTTTAGGTTATGTTTGAATTGTTTTGAATTATTACTTTAGTTTTATTAGGTAATTTTATATTTAAGTAGCTGGGATTAGTTTTAATTAAATAAATATGGGTCAAAATATGGATTCCATCTCTTCCAATATTAAAGAACCTATAAAGAGGCTTAGGTTTACAGCAGATGACGACTTAGCCCTTCTAAGAGAATTTGTTGCTTGTTGCCCTAAACCCACTGACAGACGTTGAACAATAAAGCACTGGAAATAAGCACTTTAGTCCTTTACTTTTAAAATACCTAGTAAACAAAACAATTTCAAAGTTTTAAATTCAAAGTTAGGTTAAGTTTAAATAGCGGACGCGACGCGAACAGAATCCTTTCCGATCCGATAACTATAAATGAAGAGAGTTAATACCAGCTCACGTAAAGGAAATAACACCTGGCCTTATTAACGTCCATGCACGCTATTCGGTTTAGCGATATCTCTCTATTACGCTGTTTATTGTTATTTTACGCGAGTTTATTTTTGCGCACAGGAAATTTTACTCGTTTGCACATCGTCATTAAAAACAATTTTCGTACCACGAATTAGGGACAAGATTTTTATCTGTATACTTATAGGATACCTAATCTGTGGCAATAGTAAGCTTGTTATAATCAAATATTTAATACAGATATTGGTGAGTATATAAAATGATTGTACTTACCATGCTAAAAACTCAGTGGAATTCCAGTATGTGTAGTTTGCTTCCCAATCACCATCAGACCATAAAATTGAGGGTTTATACTGCTCTACCAACTCGTACAGTTCAGGTAAAGCCTTGGCTTTGGCAAAATCTTGAGTGGTGAAGTTATTCGCTCTGTCCGATAGATAGATTGGATGAAACCATTCGTAGAGTGAGTGGTACAGACCGAATGTTAAGTTTGCTTGTCTTACAGCTGTACCAAGCTCATCTTTTTATAGAATAGATAAACAAAAATGTAATTAGCGTATTTTTGAAATAACGATATTTTTTTCAAACGTCACAAAAAAAGATACTAATTTTTGCGGCGTGATAAGACAATATAACTCCTAGGCATAAAAGTAAAGCACTTTTATACCTAAGTACAAAAGTACGAAAATCGAGGGGTAAACCGCAGAGGGAAAAGTGTACACCGTAATTCCTTTTACTCAAATAATTCCTCAGAATTCCTCGTAATTCCTTCGGAATTCCTTGGTCTTCAAGGTCAAGGTCAATCATTCAAGGTCTTCCTTGGTACGAACTCGGTAACTCTTTCAGTCTGAACCAGCGTTGCCACCTCGGTTTCGCAGTTCTGCAATTAATTTTCTCGTGATTTTTATAAATGTCTAATGTCTCTATAAGTACTAGATCTAACAATAAAAAGTACTATTACGAGATTTACGTTTTTTTAGTTAAATTTTAGGACTAATAGGGGATCATGGAAATATGTCGGCACTTACTTATTAAAATTTATTTTTCTCGGGATTTTTTGAAAATGATAGGTACCTAGTTATATCTATAGGAAAGGAAATTAATAAAACTTCAGTTGCGCGTCATAATACGATCACCATAAATTCCATAAGATTACGCATGGTGTCATTGATGAAGTGCACCTAAAGTTGTATTAATTTCCCTATAGTATATACTATATACCTAGGTATTATTCCGAGGAAATGAAAAAAAAAAACAACTTTACACTTTCTGAGTACCAAATAAAAAAATCTTATGAGGGTTTCTTTAAAATGGCGAAATCAGGGAACGTTATAAGTAGATCTCTCGGGTGTGGTTCGGCCGTACTATTGGAATATATTTTAGATATATAATCGAGGGGTACAATATTAAATTAAAAGAATATCTAACCTGTAGATATTTGATAATGGGAAATTTTGGAAGCGATTCGAAAACGAAAAACGGATTGTAAAAAATCGCCTGCAAAACGTTTTTCTTTAAATTCAGTACTACCTATTATAGTATTCATGGTCTACTAATGTTCGTTTATTTTTTATAAAGCTGCTTGTAATTCCTCTTAATTCCTGTGGAATTCCTCTAAATTTCTAAGGAATTCCTTGGAATTCATCGGAATTCTTACGCAAATCATTGGAATTCCTAGTAATTCCTTGGAATTCCTCGTAATTTCTTGGAATTCCTGTAGAATTCCTTCATAGTGTACACCATAATTCCTCTGCGGTTTACCCCTCGACGAAAATATATTATTAAACTGACATAAAATATTAGATTCAACGAGTGTAACAATAATTTCTCGATATATAATTACTTACAAGGTATTATTTTAAATCTTTTTATATTTGCAACGTTTGAATTTGTTTAAACAATTATTTGTGACGTTTGAAAAAAAAAATATAGCACGTTCTGTTCGGAGTAAAATAACTTTTTGTGTCTCGCCTGTAATCAACAAACAACCAACAAACCAAATCAAACGTACAGGGTGAGTCAACGATAAAGTCCATTATCTCATTTGTTTCGAGGTTTACAAAAAAATATTAAATTAAAAAGTTATAGGGACGGTTAAGATACACATTGGTGCTTCAAAAAAGTGTGGCGAATATAACATATGTTTTTTAAATGGAATACCCTATTTTTTATTTTATTTTTAGATTCTGTAAAACTCCATAACTTTTTTCTATATAATGTTTTATACCTAAAATTAATAGTTTTTGTAATATTTAAATTTGTTTAAACAAATGTTAGATTGCAGTGTGGTAAAAAATGGTCAGTGATGGTATTGTTTCTGAAGTTGGAAAACTAAAATTTGGTAGGAGAATTTTATAGAGATATAGAAAAAAGCCTATGTGAAAATATTTTAGTTAGATGCTACAGGGTGTTCAAAATATATTTATGAATTTCAACTATTTAAAATTAAAAAATTTCAAATTTTTTAAATGGGACACCCTATATATTATCATTTTTTCTGATAGATTTTACAATACTATTCAACTTTTATTTGTCATATACCTATTTTTAATAGCTTGCGATTTATTCCAATTTTTTTCTATTTTTACCCATATTTTTAATACAATTATCCTATAACATCATAGTTACCATGACAAAAAGTAATAATTATCAAAATTTCTTGTCTGTTAAGCAAGTTAAGAACAAAATTTGAATTTTAGTTTCATTTGTTTTAAATAAGTATAAATCGTAGAGATAATAGTTACAGATTTTCTTGAAATTAATTAGCCAATCTGACTGATATGCACCAACAAGCCAAAAAAAATATATTTCTTGGTTCAGTACTATATATTTTAGAGTACTTTGTTAAGTAGAATAAGAACAGATGTAGATAATCTAGAAAACATCTTCAGTGTGTAATGGGACGGTTTCGCTGCAGTAGTAATTAGTAATATTGGCTTTACCAAATGAATTATAAACCAGAATTACTACGAGAAAAAAAACTTGACTGTATGTCGAAGAAAATTCCTATATTAGTAGTCCTCAACAATTAGGTAATCTAGTGTTACCCTAATCTGGGAAAAAAAATTGAATTTACGGAAAATCCAAGTGTCATCTTTCATAATATAGAAATACACCAAGAAATTCACGACTGCGATTTAAGTTTATTTGAGTAAAGTTAATTAATTTTAACTAATACCAGCAATTGTAACTAATTATTAAGCTACTTTTTAAAGATAAGTAATAAATAGTTTGTTTTGTCATGGCAACTATGATTTTATAGGCTAATTGTATTAAAAATATGGGTAAAAATAGAAAAAATTGGAATAAATCGCAAACTATTAAAAATAGGTAGTATATGACATACTTAATAAAAGTTGAAGAGTTTTGCAAAATCTATCAGAAAAAATGATAATATATAGGGTGTCCCATTTAAAAAATTTGAGATTTTTTAATTTCAAGTAGTTGACACCCTGTATCATTTAAATATATATATATATATATATATATATATATATATATATATATATATATATATATATATATATATATATATATATATATATATATATATATATATATATATATATATATATATATATATATATATATATATATATATATATATATCTTTTGTTCATCTCTATAAAACTCTCCTACCAAATTTTGGTACTCCAACTTCGGAAACAATGGCACCACTGACAATTTTTTACCACACTGCAATTTAACATTTGTTTAAACAAATTAAAATATTACAAAAACTATTAATTTTAGGTATATATTATATATAAAAAAGTTATGGAATTTTACGCAGAATCTAAAAATAAAATAAAAAATAGGGTGTTGCATTTAAAAAAAACATCTGTTATATCCGCCACACTTTTTTGAAGCACCTTGTATACTCTATAATAATTTTAAAATGTGTATCTTAACGTTCTCTACAACCTTTATAATTATTTTTTTTTGTAAACCTCGAAACAAATGAGATAATGGACTTACAATGGATAATTACTCTATTGTTGACTCACCCTGTACAGCCTCGCCACAAAAAGTATCATTTTTACCCCTAATAAAACACTATACATTGGTACTAACCAATTATATCTCTGTGTGGTCCAATGTCTTTAGCATTCCAACTGAATGAGTACTTTGATGGCCAAAGGGTAAATCCTTCGTGATGCTTACTTGTCAGTACGACATACCTAGAAGAATACTATATTTTAACACTAAAGTTTTGAAAAAATGGCTATACCTCTGTGTCGGATTCACCTCTTCAAAAAAGTCCTAAGGTTATTATTTATAAATTTTATTTTGTTGATTTTTTTACAGTACAAGTGGCGAAATACCCAAAGAAAGTTTACAAAATACCCAGAGGACTTTTTTGATAAGGTTTTCAAGTTTTAATCATCATATAACGTCCAAATTTTTGAATATTTTTTTTTGCTGTTTTGAGAATTTTTATTTTATTTCGTTACTATATCCTGTTAGTTTGTAGTAATTATTTTGCCGTGGGTGGTACTTACTTGGCTCCAGACTTGGCAAACAGATTCGCCCATTGGGTGGCATTGAAGAATTCGGCAGTAAAATCTTTGGCAAACTCTTGATAGGTGAAGTTTGGTGGAAAGTTCTTCTCGATGTAGTCACTAATTTCTTGAGTTTCTGTAAAAAAGTTTTTTTATTGTATTTATCACTTTCGACACTGATCTAAAGAATATTAGAACAGCGCACCTTTTCATATAAATATAATAGATATTTTAATTCATTAGTATTTTTTTGTGTTTAATAGTTTTTAAACAAAATTGTTTTCTATTTTCTTTTAGTAATAACAAAAATATTTTCAAGTGGGTATTTTTATTTTATATATAAAAATATTTGTTTTACATCATCAAGTGGTTCAATGTTATCTCCAAGCCTCTTAAAATTTAGTATTAGCTGTTATGCATACGTATTTTTTGATAAAAAGTTGAATGAAATTTATGTTTCTGTGAAAGTATTTAATTTCCCTATCATTTCCACCCAAATTAACAACAGTATCATGCACAAAATGAAGCTCGATTTTACATCGAGTCTATCTAAATATAGAGACTCATTTACATTTCAGTCACTTGTTTGTGATTTAATTGAAAATATACGGCTTTCAGATTTTCCTCTTCTGTGCAAATTCGGAAAAGTTTTTGTAGAGAGATTTGGTCATCCATACAATTATGACTGCCCATACCGTTACTTTACCTCGACGATCGATTACGTTCTTTAAATAAAGATTGTATATTTTATGTTAAAGATTATATTAGGTACATCAGCAAATGTACTAATATTGAAATTTTATGGAATAAATTTCACTTTTCAGATGTTCTTACCATTTTCTGATTTCCAATCTGACCAAAGCCACTCAGAAGAAATACTAGGTACCGAAAACACACCCCAATGAATGAAAATGCCGAATTTAGCCTTATCGTACCAACTGGGCAGTGGTCGACTGTCTAAACTGTCCCAAGTTGGTTCGAATTTTTCACAACGAACTTCGAACACATTGATAAAGGCGAATAATAATCCGCATAACAACAGTAACTCTATTTTCATAGTTTTATTGTAAGGATAAACCGATCTGAGTGAATATTATGTTACGACTGTTAGTGACAATCAGTAAAATAGGTATACCGAGATAGAGATAATTGCGTAATCTAAAAAACTACTTCAGTAAGTTTAGTATACAGGATGGCTTTTAAGAAAAACATTCTATAGGTAAGCGTTTAACTGTACCGATCAATAGTATATTGTTTTATTGGGAGTAAAAAAGTTTGACATTACCTGCGAGGCACAAAAAGTAATTTTTACAACGAATAGAACATGCTATTTTCTTTAAACATAACAATTTGAAACGTTGCAAATTATATAAAATATTTGAAAGTAATACCTTGTAAGTAATTACATATCGAGAAACTATGGTTACGCTCGTTAAATTTGAAACTTTATGTCCATAGATAATATACTACAGTATGATCGAATAAAAACGACGTCAGCGATGGTTATGAAATGACAGTCAATGACATTTTCCATATAATTTTACATATAAAATGACAGCGATCTTCATTTCATAGCCATCGCTGACGCCGTTTTTATTCGATCATACGGTATAATATAGAATTTATGTCAGTTGAGTGTAATTTATGTCATGTTGAGTGTAATATCACTGAATTACAACTCTCCTGGAACAATATTTTACAACTTCTCAGCCTTATCACACTGATTTGATCAGAATCAAAAATGGATTCAGGCAGTTCGACGAAACATGTGAGTAAACAAAGTGCCCATTACATAATCAAAAAATTAATTTATTTGAAAGATTGTTCAAACTGTATCATTAACGTTTATAATAAATAAGTTTTCATGTTTTTATAACTATTATCAATAGAACAGTTTATTTGTATTTAGTGCAAAATAAATGATTTAAGTATATTTTTTTCTCTTTGGTAGTCAACTAAACAAGGAGTGCGGTAATGAAAATGCGTGAGTTAAGAGCTTCTTAACTCACTGACGTAGATAAAACTATGATCGCTACCGTAGTTGAAGCAGCTGGCATGTTATTACTAATTTTAAAATAATATTATAGTTTTTTTTTTCTGTTAAAACTACTAGTGTATACTGACAGTTTTTTCTTATTAATAAGTTTTTCTATCGTTGTTCTAGAACGAAGAGGACATCCTGTATGTAATGTAATTTGAGATTTAATTTTCAACAAGTTATTTAAAGCCGTCAGTATTCAAAACACTTAATTTTTATCTATCCATTTTAAAACTATTAAAACTTATTATTATAATATAATAATGTAGCTATAATATACATATAGATTCAAATGCATTTTACATCTCTGTTCAATTTACTGGTTAATTTGTTATGAATATATTCAGAAAATTTAATAGCAACGAAATATTATAGTTTGAGTGGTATTAATAACGATAATATAAACATAATTATTATATCAAATGACACAGAATAAAGAATAATTATTCTGTGATTAAATACATTGATAGCAAAATAATTTACTTTATTAAACATAGTTTAAATGAAATCTTTAATAATTACTCTTTACTAATTACTCACTAATGTAAAGTAAACATTTTTTTTTCTACAAAATCATAAAAGCTAGAGTTTTCTGGACTGAAACTGTAGCTCCAAACTTAGTAAAAACCAAACTTGTGACAAAATTCAATGTTTAAAAAAATAGTTTGTATGTCATAACATTTTTTATCATTTTGTATTATTCGTAATCTGGAATGGGAATTTTCCAACAGACTAAGATCCTCGAAAATTAAATCGAAGAAAAATCAAAGATTTCCCTTCACTGATAAAAAAGGTAGACTTGAACTAAAGTCGTCATCGTTCTTGAAAAAAAAATAGTGGCAAGAGAATTTATTTTAGCGTAAAAGAAAATATTTTGCCTGGAGAAAAACTGTCTTAAGTCAAGAAAACTGGTTCTCTTGAAAAATTCGAGAATTTCTCTTGAATCTATTTTCATTCAACCAATTGCAAGTTACTTTGTTTTAAGATAATAAGAAAAATACGCTAGGAAGTACTTCATTCAAGAAACATGGCCATTTTTCCAATAGCTAAATACTCTTTTGATGAAAAATAATAACTAGATGCAAAGACGGTGACGAAGGACGGTATATACAATCAGTCGGCAGTTCGATCAGTCGTACGTCGCATTTCATATGTCGCACATCATAATACGTACGGGTTTTGTTGCTTGGAATTTTCCACTTGGAATTTTGTACAATTTGCTTTTTAAACGCATATCGTATAACAAATTAGTGATCGTTATTAACATGCATTTGTCATTTTTTATGGACAGTTTTTAGGATATATGGATTCTTTCTTATGGAAAGGGGTTTCTGAAAAAATAGAAATTAGAGCATTTATTTGCTATATTTGAAGGTAAGAGACATTTACCTATGCACCTGTTTAGATGCATGCATATAAAAAAAGATCGATACCCATATTCTTATTCTATCTAATAGATAGAATAAGAATATAGGTATCGATCTTTTTAAGCAAATAATTATAAAAATTTTACAATTTCAAGTCGTCGTATTAAAAAATTCAAAATGTGAGCAAAGCTTATAATTTTAATAATTTATTTGCTTTACTTTGATTAATCGTGATGTAACATTTTTTTGTAATTTGTAGAGTGATGAACCACCCCAAAAAATACCAAGGAGTGAAGAGCAGAAATAATATATATCGAGAAAAATAATATCACTTTACTTACTACAGACCAGGAAAACCTAAATTTATCAGAAAATAATATACCTCGTAATATGCCTGTATATGATGTATAGATCTTAGATCAAAATAAATTTTAGTTGAGTCAATAGTATTCGCTATTTCATATTCATTTTGGGTCAAGAGTAAAATACTTTGGACTGATAGATTCTTGTATTCTCTAAAGTAACTTTTTAAAGCTTATGAAAAGATAGTTAATGCTTTGGGCAAAGAAACGTCGTTCTAGGCCCTACTGAAAAGCGCCAATCTTTTGGGTCAAAGTCATATTCATTTCGACTGAGAGATCCTTTTTTTCAGTGTTGATTTCAGAGTACCTAGATTGAATCTATGAAATGTGAGTAGAGATTGAATAGACGAAACGGTGAATGTAGATTCTGTGTGGAAAATGGGGAAACACCAGAAAACCTCATCGCTAAGCGTGCCTAGACGACGACCATTCATGCCATAAACTTTGGTACGACTGATATCGGAGATGGCGAACTAAATTCTGTAAAACCGTCTCAGATACTGAGACAGTATCAGAACGGGGACACAATAGATCTGTAAGGTCCATTACTAAAAAAATGGCGAAGAGATTTTGATAAGGTTTTTGAGGTTCTGAATGAAGCTTCTCTTTGCACAAAAATATAAAATATACTAATATAATTGATTATTTTTTAAAAATTTACTTTGCTTATACTACTTAAAATATTTGTTTAAGGTTAAATCAAAAAAAAACCTACGTCTAGAACGCCAGTACGACCAAAACCACTCCGAATTCAAACTGGGCACAGAAAACAAACCCCAATGTATAAAAATTTCTATTTTAGCTTTGTCGAACCATTCTGGTAATGGTCTGGAATCCAAACTAGCCCACGTTGGTTCAAATATCCTCGAACTTGAACCCAACGATACCAGGAAGGGTATACAGAACAAAAATTGAAACTTCATCTTGTATTAAGGTATTCTGACAATAATCAGATGTGTCAACTGAATATTTATATTTATATGCATCGATTCTTATCTGGTGTATGTACCTAATATCAGCGGTACTTGAACCAACAAAATATTGCTAAATTTTTTGCATTTATAGTTTTGCATAAAATGAGGTATATTTTTTAACATATTAGTATTTTAATAAAACTCGTTTTTTACAGGTCTCAAGTTTAATGAGAGGCCTTGTTATTTCCCATTTTTCAAGAGTCTGATTACACTCTAACAATATATATTTACTATGGGGATGGGTTTAAGAATCGTTTTTAACTGATTTTAATATTTCAGGCTTAGATAGGAACTATCGAAAACAAGAAATAGCCATCTTATCCGATAGGCCATCACCAATAAAAACAATAAACTCAGTAACCATCAATTCGAAGTTGGTCAAAGAATGCCAAGAGAAGCTGATCAAATTAGGTAAAGATAGATAGCAAAGTTCTCCTAATCTGGATGCCAACCCACCAAGGGATATAAGGCAATGAAAAAAGCAAACGATCTGGCTAGAAAATGAGCGAACACTGCACTAACTGGATGAGAAACGTTCTGCTTTCCAAGTAGAAACCAACATACCAACTTAAAACGGAACTCAATAACTCGAACTTTGCTGGAGATTAGGGAACAGTACGTAACCACTGTTGATGGCGATTTGTTTAATAATATTAATCTCCTTTTGAAAATTATGTGGGCTCAGTGGAAACATCAATAATCTATGAATTAAACTATGAAAGGGTGACATTTTAATTTGCCAGGATTGGTGTGACTCACTGTGTATTACAGTATATTCTGTGGTAGTGCTGTGGTGACACACGAGACGCAAGACGCGAGAGGAAAAGTGGTAACGATCGGAGGTTACAACGGAGCGTCGTAACTCGAATTATTATGAAAAGATATTTTGACACCGTTTCGTGCGCTACGAACTTTGCTGGAGATTAGGGAACAGTACGGAACCATTGTTGATGGCGATTTGTTTAATAATATTAATCTCTTTGTGAAAATCATGTGGGCTCAGTCGAAACATTAATAATCTATGAATTAAACTATGAAAGGGTGACATTTTAATTTGCCAGGATTGGTGTGACTCACTGTGTATTATAGTATCTTCTGTGGTAGTGCCGTGACACACGAGACGCAAGACGCGAGAGGAAAAGTGGTAACGATCGGAGGTTACAACGGAGCGTCGTAACTCGAATTATTATGAAAAGATATTTTGACACCGTTTCGTGCACTACGAAACACCATCATCAATGAATCGATTAAAAAATCGTCCGGTTTAAATGAAATTTGGCATGTCGATAGATTGGACCAAGGCCAACTTGACCGTGTGCGACACGTGTCACTGTGACAATTAGTTTTGACGTGAGAGACGTCAAAAGTTGATGTCGTCCGATCGCGA